CCCCCAGTCTCCTCTGAAGAGTGGTGGTTAAAAATGGCATTGTGTCAGAATAGGATTTGACTGCAGCAGTGCAAGAAACAGCCAATTTCCTCTGTTTACAAAGTTTTCCAGTTTGACCCTAATTGACTCCTGTTGAAATCCATGGCGCAAGAAATGCAGAAACTTCTCAAAATGCAGCAAGTCTCAAAGATTAACATCTATGTTTTCACGCTGCTTWCTTCACTCGACGATTTCTCTGGAAAATGGACTTTTAACAGCATAATTTTCTTCTGACGAAAAGCAAAAACAAAAGATTGTTTGTGGGAACAATGCATGTTTTATCCCTGATGTACATCTTGACTTGGCGTCACTTTTTACTTTCAAATCTAAAAATGAGCTTACATGTAATATAGTTATTGTTTATTTAAAATTTGTCAGCTCGTACAGTACAGAAGTAATTTCATACAACTAACATCTAAGGTTTTGCAGATAAACATGCTCAATGTTTTGTTCTAAGTCAAACAAACAAGCACATAAATCACAAAGCTGACACACACACACACACACACACACACATTGTAGTCCGTAACTCACACACATCAACCCTCCTGGGTTCTTATTATCCCTAAAGTTGTAGTTCACCTTCAAGACCAGTTCATTAGTCATCCAGGAAAGAGCTGGGCTCAGCTGCTGAAACAGCGCTGCTATTGATAAGAGGACATGAAGCAGAAAGAGCTCCTGTCAGAAATGCCAGTTCTGCATCCCATGCCTCTGCTTCTCGATGTTCTGGAGTGTACATCAAACTAAAGATCATTTAAACGTGTCCAGGTGTTGCTCAGTTTGGAAGCAGAAGTAGGAACGTTAGGAAAGTAATTTTAAAAAAGGTGAATAAATGTTTTTTGGGGAAAAAGGAAGGTTTATTTGACTGTCAGACGAAAYTTAACATCAATGTATTAAATATAAGCTTAGAACAAGCTTCAATTTGTAGTAGGTAAATATTTCTAATGATKTGTGTCTTCTGTTTTACAGGTTGTTATGGTGTGAAGCCTGGCTCTGTCAGTAATAGCTGGACGTGCTGCAGATGTGCAGCAGAAGCGTGGACAGAAGTTAGTAGCAATTACAGCTTATGGTCACACACAAACCTGAAAACAGTGAGCCAGAAGAACAATTGTCTTTAAGTCCTATAAACAAAATAAAAATAAGTTATTGTTAAATCTGTGTGGAACCAGGCTCTCACACAAAACAATAATTAACTCAGCTGGCCTACGACTGTCAGGAAAAAAGTGTATAGCTGCTCAACATGAAGGCAAGCTTTGCTTTTTATGAGCTCATGAAGGAAAAACCTTCTGAAAATGCAAAAAAGTGTGAATTTTCTGAATGGAGGCCTTAGTGTTTTAGGTTTTTGAAGAYGTGGAGGTTTTAGCATGTGTGCTAATGTGTTCATTAGGTTCAGGGTTTCTTTTCCTTTAACAATGTTTTGTTTTTCAGGAGTGCTGTCTCTGTAACCTACGGGGAGGCGCTTTGAAGAGTACCACAGACAACAGGTGAGTGTTTAGATTATTGTAGAATGTTTCAGATTAATATTTTATAACATATCCACCGCTAACAGAACACTGAATCATTTGCCCTTCCTTCCTAAAGACACAAGTAAATAAAAACAGTTTTTCTCTTATTAGAAGTAGAATTAATATGTATTTTAAATTCATCTTTACTGTTTTGTTGAAGTTTTATGGGTGTGGGTTTTGTCTTGCTTTGTCTTCAGGTGGGTCCACATTATYTGTGCCATTGGTGTGGCAGAAGCTCGCTTCGTCAATGCCATCCAAAGAGAACCGGTGGATGTCAGCGCTATCCCAGAAACCCGGAAGAATCTGGTAAGTTCAAGCAAAATCAGCAACAAAAAATAAATAAATAAATAAATAAATAAATAGGTCAGCACATAAATCTGGTCAAACTAACTTTAACAATTCTTTCTGACCAAACTTAAACTTTGTACTGCCCACCGTGGTGATTTAATTTCTTGAGCTTTTCCTGCTCCTCAGTTGTTTTTTTTGCCCCTACTCGGAGGCAGATTGCTTTCTTTCCTGTTCATTGCCTCTGTTTCTGTCACTTTCCCCGTTACTCTACTTCCTTTTCTGGTGGATTGATAGATTTTTTTTTCTTTTTTGGGAGAAGTGGGGTAAAACAGACATGCTGAGGGGAATGGCTGAATAATCAGCTGTCATTTCTCACTGCGCCAAATGAACTGCATCGATCTTGTGGGTTGAAAGCAATTTCCCCATTGCTGCCGCATCTTTGAGCACAACTTGTTCAGTGCTTTCCTTTTGCTGTTTTTTTCTTCTTTGCAATCCGTCTTTCACAGTCTCTGCACCCCTGCAAGTGATATCAGCGCTCGCTGGTATATTATCACAAACTCGCAAATAATGTCACCTCTCCCTCCTCTTCTCTGTGAATAATCTATCAAAGACAAGCTGGCTGACATTTGCATTGGAGTGCTGTCAAAGCAGGATTCTTCCATCTCTTCTTAAAAAGCTTTGAGAAGAAGCTGTGCTCTCTAATGATTTGGATGACTGGGCTGATCAAATGTGAACACATGCACCCATGGAACCAGTTTTTATTGCAACATATTCAGCAGTCGCTGCGTTTCCCTCCTACCCTTGAACACTTGGCTCTCGAGGATGGAGAGTTTTTGCACAAGTAGTTTTTTTGTCTCATTTGTACAAATGTCTGGCACTAAAAGCCTGAAAAGTCTTTGAAAATGTATCTTTGTGAAAGTTCAGTCTTGCACTTTCTGTAGTGATATTGCAATTTCTGATTCCAAGCAGTCTCAAATGCATCCACAGGATGGTCCCGGTAAAAGTTTTAAGTCCCGCCCCMTCCATGTAAAGAAATAGGACTTTGCCTATCCATTCTACTGTGTAGATGTAAACTGTTTTTTTTAAGTTTCCGACTAAATATAAAATCCCAATAAAATGACATCAATATTTGTTTTCTGTTGTTGAGCTTTGCTTCTGTTTTCTCACCGCCCAGCTGAAGTGGAAAACTAAACTCGCTGGGTTAAAAACATAGTAGCAGGTGAATTATCTGTCCTGTGACAGAACAAAAATGAAGTATTGACATGGTAAAAATAAAAAAAAAACTTTATTGATTGGCACTGTGCTGCAGCTGCACACAATGATTGTTTTCCTAAGGAGGAGTTGCAAAGAAAGAGGGAGGGAAAAACCGTGCAAGTGGGGAATTGGAAAAAGCAAGAGTGTGTCAGATGGTAGATAATCACCAATGATCAAATTTAATAGAATTAAAATGAATAAATTTATTATATTTCTTCAATTAGGCAAATCTGCCAAGAGAATGATTAGTGTGTTACATCGCTGACTGTTGGCACGAGTTAAAAATTATGAYGCGCCTTTTTTTAACCAATCTGTACTTCATGTCATGAATAACATTTTTGATATGTTTAAAACATGCTAAATCCAAGAWCAAAGAGAAAATTGTAATTTTTATGACTTTTATCTTTGTACCTATGCATAGGTTTTACTGTTTTAGCATTGTTGGATTACAACTTTTTCTATATTTGTGCCATCAAACTCCCCTTTTCTGCATTTTTCTAAACTTTTAACCCTGAAAATGTACGTTTGTGTTTTTTAATTCCAGAAATGTGTGTTCTGCCACACAACGAATCCCAGTCTGAACCAAGGCGCCTGCATCCAGTGCACCTACGAGAACTGTGCCACTTCCTTCCATGTCACATGTGCTCAGGTCGCTGGGGTCGTGATGAAACCTGCYGACTGGCCGTACCTGCTGTCGGTCACCTGCCACAAACATAGGAAGAACCCTCAGAAGGTAGATTAAGAAAATGATCCATGAGTTCTAAAATTGCACCAATAAATGCTGGTGTTTATTTGGTTTCAGGAGAAGATCATAAAGGTGTTTGTTAGTAATTACAGAAAAACGCAGTTCCTAATACTGGTCTATGCTCTTATCTGATTCTTTTTTTTTCTTCTCTTTTTTCTTTTAGACCCGAGTAGTACCTACCGGTAAATCTCCTCAGATTCTGGACTTGGGTAAAAAGGTAATCGGCCGCAACGCTGACAACTGGTTCTACCCCATTTTGTAACTGATTAATTGAATGTTAGATGCAGTATTGTATTTTATACTTTCTGATCATTGCAGCTTTAAGGCCATAACAGAATAAGAGTTGGTGTGTGTCTTATCATGTGTTCTTTCTTTAACCTAAACAAGAATGAGTTAGGTTCTGATGTCTGACGTAAAAGGTAACACCTCCAGGGGTGTAACCAGGAAGAGATTTACATTATAAGGTCAATTCATATATAGTAGAGGGAGTTGTTAATGTGTTGAAGAGTCTCTGCTCAGAGCAGAGCTGCTCTGTTTTGTTGGGTTTTTATCTCAAGGTCTTGCGCTGAGGCCTGCTGAGTGCTGTACCTGGTTGGAGTCAGAAGATTGAGAATAAAGATTTAAGAAGAAATCTAGTTGGATTCCTGTTTATTCGGACATACCATTTTGAACAACAAATGTTTTCCTACAATTTGGTGACCCCGACGTGATGGATGATCTTGAATAAGCAGGAATATTGGATTTTTTTTGACTGAAGAACCTGAGAATGTTTTGAAACATCAACTGCTGAGAGTGAGGACAGAATCGCTTCAAGATGCCTCCTTTCTTTTCCAAAGAAGATTTCTGCCAGYTTCTCCAAAATGTGACGGTGTTGGATTTCAAGATTCATTGTCTGGAAGAGATGAATGCTTTGGAGAACTCAACATGCGTTCAAATGGGTGAGAAGGCTGAGATGAGAGATCAACTAGCCGAGGAGATGGAAGCTGCTTCTGAGATTAAAGCTGTATGGAACTCTCTGGGTGCCAGACCAAAAAATCTCTCAGGAAGGTTTCAGCTCTTAGATGACAACGAATGGCCAGAGTTACCCCTAATTTACATTACTTGCGTTCCGTCACCGCTCTGGTCCGGTCCGACCTCCGCAGCAAATACGCAACCATTATAATCAATGAGAGTGTTTACACTGGCTGCGCAGGGCAGTGGTGAGCGGACGGCGATCCGTCAAAATTGGAACAGATCCTATTTTTGCTGGAGGACGGAGCAGCGTCAGAGTCAATTTTTAAAGATTACGTCGCACCAACAGGAAAAGACAAGAGCACAACATCCGTATTTTCAAAATAAGACACTATTCGGCTGAATAATTTTTCGGAATAATGTCGAAATTGCGGCTATATTAATAAATATACGAATATATTTCTACACAAGTGCAGTCAGAATGTATCGTTCTGTTTGGGAAGCAGATGGAAACATGTAGCATGAAGCATATGTGTACACACACGATACACGTGTATTTTATTTTGAAATCAGAAGTTTCAGAAAGCAGACAGCGAGACAGTTTCAACATAGATACAAAAAGCCTTTATATTGTTTTCAGCTGTGTTTGGAGTTCCTCTTTCACAGAATTAATTATTTTTTCCTGTGACTTCCACACTTATCACTGAATTTATCGCGCCATCTCCTCTGTCGGACCGGAGCGGAGCGGAGGTAGTGTAAACTGGACTTGAAACGCACAGCTGCGACCTGCGCAGCGGAGTGGTGCGCACCGGAGACGCATGCAGTATAAATCCGGGGTTACAGAGAAATGCTTTTTCTCCCCCAGCAAGGAGAAGAAAAGAGCAACAGGCTCGAATCAAAACAACTGATAACAGCCAGAGAAATGAAGACAGAGCAGTCTTTCTTCAAAAACAGATTCACACCACTGGAAGAAACTGGTGAGTCTGAACAAAGTTCATCCTCTGATCTCAGAGAGGGACCTGGGACCAGATCCAGATCAAGACCAAAACAAGTCCAAAGAGAGACTTTCAAGAATCAAGAAATGCTGATCATCACAGATAAGACGGTGAATGAGATCAGATGCTTCTGGAACAAGAAAAAAGTCAAAGTCCTGAGTTTTGCTGATAAAGTGTCTGACCTCGCAGAGAAGATTCTGGAAATCACAGCTGAGTATCCTGCTCTGAAGTTGCTCATCATTCATACACGAAGTGATGACGTTATGAACCGACAGTCAGAAATCTTGAAGAAGGATTTCATTCAGTTGCTGAATGCGGTTAAAAATCTCAACATGGATGTATTGATGAGTGGGCCAATTCCTACAGCCTGAAGAGGGGCTGAGAGGTTCAGTAGGCTGTTTGCCCTTAATGGTTTTTTGGGAAAGTTCTGTGCTGACCACTCAATCAATAAGTTTATTCACTCAATTCAAAAATTTTCCTCATTATAATATACAAACACATTTTCGTTTAACACATACTATGCATGAGTAAAAAGGGAGCAGGAAAAAGAAAAACCTTGTATAAACCTGCTCCTTTCTCAATAATTACAATTATTTTTCATGGCCACATACATTAAATCACAAATAGAATCTGTAAACAATACAGTGGGTAAAGTAAGTATTGAACACGTCACCATTTTTCTAAGTAAATATATTACTAGAGGTGCTAATGACATGAAATTTTCACCAGATGTCGGTAACAACCCAAGTGATCCATACATACAAAGAAATCAAACCATAAA